TTCTTTTTTTTTTTTTTGTTTAACATTGTGTTTGAGGAAATAATTAAAGATAACTTATCTGTAAAAATAATTTAGCTTAGGCCCTTTTCCGAATAATGTAACAGCGACCGGTACGTACCTGAGGAGGACCGCCATAACGAATGTCATCGCTGGGACAAGATTGTCAATTGCCGATACATATACGGGAGATGTCATTTCAATACTTGCGTAAAATAGATTACAGAAGATCGATCCCCTGTTGCACAATTATAAATAGCATTGCATCCATTTATTAAAGGTACTCGTTCTCCTTTACAAACTAAAACAACAAGAATTGAAAAAATTGGGCATTTTTGCCTGCGCAAACAAAGAAAACATATATGCAGTAATTTCATTAGAAACTCAAAACTAAGAATTAGATCACTCACCCTAGTAATCCCGACATAAATGATTGTAGCAAGAAAGCCCAAGTTATGTTTGGTCTCCTCCTCCTGTTCAGAAACCAAAAAATTGTCAGTCAAGATATTCATAAAAAAAATATTGAAATGAATAAAGAATTCGTTTTGTCCTAAAAAGAAAAGGATATTTGTATTATTGTCTCTCTTTTATTAATTTAGCTTCCATTACGAGAAAAACTGAAAAGTGAAGTCAGAAGCGGAATCATTCTTTTATGACAAAGAAACAATGCACACGTGGAAAAGGAAGCTTCAAGCGTGTATGAACTCGTACTTGAAGTATATTATTTATGTGCAACCAATGAAAATGAATATCATATCTAAATTGTGCACTTACAAAAAGAAATATGGTTTATTATTAACTCATAATCTCTGCCAGTTAAATTAAAAGTTAAATGTGATTGAAGGTATCTGTTAATGATGAAGTTAGTTACCACTCTACCACAAGGGCCACGGGGCCAAGAAATGCTGCAGAGAAAATCCACCGATATGCGACCATTATTTTAAAGGACATTCCATCTTCCGCCGCCACCTTTGACAACAAAATGTTTCCTCCGAATAGCAAGGAAGCAACAATCATGGCTAGTATATGTTTTGTCCTTTCAATGACTGTCGTTTGTTGTGTATTTGGACTTGCCATGTGTTAGTGCCTATTAGATGTATGAAACACAAGAATTAAATTCAATGACTCTCTTTCTTCGTGGATATTTGAAACAAAAGATTCAATGTATACGTACTCCCTCTTTTCGTTTCTGCCTCAGCTTTAGCAGAGTGGGTTTGATATATATTGCTGAAGTGCATCCCGTAACAGATTTAGAATTTAGCACATTTATATATTTTAAGTTGATTCATAGTTAAACATAGCAAGAGAAGATATGATTTACCCGGAAGGAGACAACAGCACAGAGACCAGGCATGCACGTGAAACGAAGAAACTAGAAAAGGAAATTTGACGGACAGTAGGAACTTGAGAAAGAGAAAAGCCAAAGTAAATATGTACTAACAACATTGAATACATTAAATCATACATACTTGGCAATAGAGGTGTGAAAAGAATTTTGATAATTGACTGGACCAAATTTTGTTGAGCCTAATCAAGTCCGTTATTACTCTTTTCCCCCTAAATACATATAGGTCTGCATCAATAACCTTGTCGAACCATATTTATATTTTACATATGACATCAAAATGTTACCAAAGTAAATCTGGTCAAATACATAGACAGACCCTTAAACTTGACATCAAATTCCACTTAGACATCCAAACTAAAGCTTGTTCCAATAATGCACTCTAACATCTATTAAAGTGTACCTATCAGACACACATTGATAATATGGCATAGTGTATGTATTACACCTCCTTTCAGAGAGTGTAACAGAAAAATGAGTTCCAAAAAGATATCAACAGAAAATTAAAAAATGATAATTTCTTCTAATTTTGATTTTTTTACTTTCTCTTTTGTCTTGTCTTTCTGCTACACCACCATACCATCTCATTGTACAGCAGCAGCCATAAAAATGCACCCTCAATTCCCCGAAATACATTATTCTCGAGATATCTAAGTAAGGGAGTTAAAATTTATCAAGTAAAATATAAATCCGGAATTCTAAAAATTATAGTAATAACTAAAGGGTTATCACTTTACGTGCAAAATTCTTATCTTTGTAAGTGAGAAATGACATAGGTAAAAATTAGTCTATCATCAAAGTAGTTGGCTAGTTGCAAAACTTCTCCGGAAATAGCACCTCCGTTCATACGAACTGCGGCAGAGATGCAAAGGAGGATGGTGGGGAAGGGACTGCTCCTTTCTCTTTCTTGTTTTTTGGCTAGATTTTATAATTAATTTTATCTTCTTCTTTTTAGCTAACATGTACATATTTTATTTGTTTGATGTGTCACTTTAAAAGAGAGTGAGGAGCTTTCCGTCAACAATGTCTGCTTGTTGACAGTTTTGGTAATTTAAGTTGAATTCGTTATTCTAATTGATCCACACAAAATGTTACTGTAGCAGCTTCGATTATCTTTCATTGTGCAGACATCTTAGCCCTGAACAGTGGATCCCATATGTACTTCTCATTCATCACACCTCATTATGTATTTGCTTTTATGTTGGACACGTGATTGTACTGATACTTTAATGAATGTTGGAGTGTGTAATAGGAAAAGACCTTAGTTGAGGTGTTTAAGTGAAATTTATGCCAAGTTTAAGTGGTTGTCTATGTATTTGGCCAAAACAAGATATATATATATATATATATCAATTAAACATATCTTTGTATTACTTGCATTGTGTTACCGCATGTCAATACCAAAATTTTTAAAAGTTTTCATTTGTTATTAAATTTTGTGACGAGTCAAATTAGCTAAGATACATTGAATATAGAGAGTAATACTTTGGGCTTTGGAAATTACTATGATACACTACACATAACTAGGGGCATTTGCATCTATACTCGCTTTTTGTGTCACATTTTAACTTGTGCCCGCTTTGCAAAAAAAATTCCAAGCGTACCTGCTTTTTCGCATAACTTCAGCACACAGGGCTGAAGTAGCAAAGACAATCACGCAAAACTTCAGCATTCTAGTAGCCGGGCCTGAAGTTCAGTTCTAGAGCTGAAGTTTTTGTGTTGTAACTGGGAAACTTCAGCTCTAGAGCTGAAGTTTTTGTGTTGTTACCGGAAACATCAGCTCTAGAGCTGAAGTTTTTGTGTTGTAACTGGGAAACTTCAAATTCGAAAAAGATATAAGAATTTTGAGATATGAATATGGAAGAACAAAAAGATTGATGCATTTCAGTAACACTTGATAAGAAGTGATCATACAACACATTATTTAAAGTTAATAAATATGGAAGACTTCATATTCTATTAAATATTATATCCCATAAAAGGATCCCAAATATTTCTAGATATTTTTTAAAGAAAATTCTATATAAAATCTTAAAAATATATATAAAAATTAATATTTATATGTCGGTTTGGTTCGGATTTTTTAACTAAATACCAAACCAAATCATACCAAATCTAGTCGGATTTTTTAATTGGTTTGGTTTGACTTTTCGGTTTGGTGCGATTTTCCGATTTGGTTTGTACACTCCTAGATAGTACCTAAGAATAGCCAAAAAATATAAATTCCATGGCTATTTATAATTTGGTAAAATTTATTAGCCTCAAAACATAAATTGGAAAAACTAATTCCTCAATTTTTTTCCTTTTGTTGCTAAGCTATTTTTGTCTTACGTTTGATTAAATGATTCTTAGATCCATTAGATTAAGTCAGTTAGAGAGTGGTTTTTCTTCGAAACCTTTCCTTTATGAGATTTTTCTCTTTACTGGTGGAAAGAAGGAAAATGTAAGATATTCACAATTGAGGGAGCAAATAGGTTTATTTTAATTAGTTGTCAACTTGAAACTTCATATTAGCATTTCCATTCTACTCAGTTCTTGCTTTACTAGTAATGAGTAGCCCATGTTGCGCATGGGCTCAATAACACTATATTTAGGTTGTGCTAATAAGCATGCGTAATTTTTTTTTAATTTATATGCATTGATAATATAAATTTTGCTTATAATGTCAAGTTATTAAAATAGCTATGGATAGTTTCTCAGACGATACCATCTCTTGTTCAAAATAAGTGCTTCTAAGTTTTTGACATACTCATTAAGAGAATTATTTAATAGTATTAATATAAGCGTTATTTAACTAAAATCCTTTATATCTTCTTATATTACTCTTTGTATATCGTCATATTTTGTAGATTATTTATTAGATAAGGATGGATTTGGAAAATACTAATTAATGCCTTCTTATTCAAAGTCATAATGCCAAATTAATTTAGCTAAAATATTTTCGATCACAAGGAAGTCCGTGAAAGCTACTAAATGTATTGGTAAGACACCATGTAATGCCTCAAAAGCTTATATACATAATTTTTAAAGTTATTTAAATATTAATTAGGAAAATAACTTTACAAGCAAGGTCATTACTTGTTTATCTTTTTTTATGTTGAGTTGGACTCCGTTTTACTCTAATATTTTATTTTTATAAGATTTTAGAGATAAATATCGCTAATTTTAGGTCTGGTATAACTTTTTCGTTAATTTAACCGTGAATTCCTTATCCTACTTGGTTCCTATTAAGGTAATTAGTAATACTTTGTTCGTTTTAATTAGGCGTTGTTGCCATCATTCTATTAGTAGGAGTAATTAACAACTATTTTAATGCTTGATTTTGAAGCTTCTATTAGTAGGAGTAATTAATAACTATTTTAATGCTTGATTTTGAAGCTTTTATATAGTATTTGACTGTATCAAATTATTTTTCTCCCCTTTAGCAAAAAAAGAAATTAGACAAAAATGAAACGTTAGTTGTCATGTGCGAGATAACATGGATACTTGATGTGGAATTACATCGCCGAAATTAGTACGTGTTGGTAATGATACTTCTTAACCTCCTTTACTGCTTTCAATACAGTAATTTATTCGGCCAAAAAACATAGACACTTGGTATGGAAGAAACTGATATCTTGTAAATTATTGGCACATATTTAATTCTTTTATATTATTTTATCACTTGTTAATAATGTCACTGGAACTTGAATTTTCATTGCTAAATTATGTTCATTTATAAGTTGGATAGCGTTTAGTGTTATATGCTATGTAATATTTCACTATCATAATTATATTTTTATTAGTAAATTATTTTAGTTATTTGGTTTTTGTAATTGAAAAATTAATGCATTGGAAAATATTTCTATGATAATTTTAAACTTATCTAAGATATTATAGATTTTAAAATATTGTAACAGTCAGTGAAAAATTTGGTCATTCTGTTAAATCTTAATTTGGATTTTTAATCAGCAGTAGTAGAATGGTTTAAGCATAATAGACACCTCAAAAATGCCACTTTTCTACAATCAAAAGCAATTAGCAAAAAGCAAGGACCACACTTTGAAGGGATACATAAGTAGCTACAGAAACCGTTTTTGTCAGCCGCTAAAATAATTTTATTTTAATGTACTTCTCCTTTTCATATTATATGAGGTAGTTTGATTCGGCGTCGAGTTTAAGAAAAAAGAAGAAGACTTTTGAAACTTGTGGTCTTAAAAGCTTATGGGGTAAAAAGTTTGTGGGGCCATAACATTTGTGTGACGATAAAAGCTTCTCACTAAGGGTAAATAGGTAAAATGAAACAGTTTAAAGTTAAATTATTTCCAAATTTAGAAATGTGTCATTTATTTTGGATCAGACTAAAAAGGAAAGTACCTCATTTAATATGAAACTGGGCCCATATCACAGCATTAGACCACCTGAATTCTCCAAAAAGCCCCCCACGTGGTCTGTCGTCATCTAAGCCCTTACTGAAATGTACCAAAATTGAAGCAACAAAGTATTACTCAATAAGCATACCCAATGTGTAATTTCCATTTTATCCTTGATTGGCAAGCAGGCATGTTGACCTGCTGCCTGCTTATCCCCTCTTTTATATAGCATAGTATACTAGTGATGGTTGTCCGTGCTGTGCACGGGCCCAATCACGATGAAGTCGAGCATTTTCTAATTCTATATGTAATTAATGAAATATTTATTGGTATGCTTGCAAGATTTCTGTAAAATATTTTATTAAAATAAAACATTAGATATCAATGGTGACGTAAAATAGTTAACACTCATATGTATGAGTACATTGATACAAAGGAAAAATATTTTTTTAGAAACATTTAAACTTCAAACTGTAAGCACCTATATTCCAATATAAATTTCAATCCTTAAAATATACTTATACGTTATGTTCTAGGACAT